TTTTTTTTTTTTTTTTTTTTTGTCTTTTCTTAATAAGAGGTTGTTGGTGATTTGTTTTCATATTGGCTTCCATTTATTTATGTTTAAAAATATTTTTTTATTTATTTAAAATATTTTTTTTAACTTTTAAAATAATTGAAAGCGTTTTCAACAACAACCCAAGTCGGGTCGATAAAGTTTGTATCTATTTTAGTCTCGGGATGCTTAAATAAATTAAAACTATAATAATATTTAAATCTTATTTATCAAATATTCTTTTATATGCCTTAAAAAAAAAGAAAATTAATTCCTCATGAAATATATATATACACATGTATATATATATTAGATCCATCAATAAGCAACATGTAGAGTATTAAGACAAAAGTATTGGTGAGTATGGTGTGAAATAAATCTTGGTATTACCTCTTTAAAGTTGAAGTCTTCCTTCCCACCATTTTCAGATGATTGACTTTGACCCTTCTTCACTTTCAAAAGTGAGGAACTAGTCGAGTGCCATAATGCGACCAAAAAGGACGAGTCAAATGCCATAATGCGACCAAAAAGGACGGCACATCATCTAATACGCCACCTAAAGTATGCATTAAAGAGAAGACGAGACATACGCAAGATAAAGATAACGAGTACACAAGAGTGTCAAACATAGGCTTGTTGAAGAGTTAGATAGGACTCCGAGCCTTAACCTCGAAAGTTGGGGATTTGAAGGGATATTGAGTCGGCGGTTCTAGAATCAAGTCCATCCATATGAAATATGAATGCTCGCCAAATTTAGTGTCAATCAAACACCAAACAAACATGTCCTGACACAATATGTCCGTTCACCAAGATCATGTCTAAGTTGAACCTGCTTCACTTTGAAACCAACCCAACTACAAATATATGCTTAAATTATCAACAAAAAAAAAATGCTCCACTGTCTTAAATTTGAAACCAACACTATAAATATATACTCAAATTATCAAAAAATGCTTCACATTAATACCAGAAACAAGATAATCCCAACTTTGAAACTCTGTTTCTGAAATGGACATCCATTCTGTAACATATGAATCCAACCAAACATGCACCAAAAAATCAATAAATTTTTACAGCAGAACTAACCATGGCACATGAGAATTTGGAAACCAAACCAATCAGTGATGCTGGGATATTCTGCAGCAAACCTGACTCGGGTTTTTCGAGCTATAAAAGGAAATCGGGTATAACTGTCTGTGAAGTTACAGGTAATGGAGCATCCCCAATTTGTGTAGCTTTACGCCTACCGTGCCGCTGACTACTTGTTCGCTTGCCTTTCTTATGAGCCTGATCCTTTTTCTCACTACTCTTTTCTACACCTGATTGCTTCCCATCTTTTCCATGATGTCGATGTGTTCTTCTTGAACTTGTTGTATCTATCTTATTGGATTGCTCTTCAACATCACCCAAGTTTTCTTTTGATTCAGAAACGTTATCAGCATCCTGTTTCTCCTTTCCTTTTCTCCTGCTAGATGCTTTGGAAGGTTGTTTTGTTTGTGAAGAAGTAGGCCTGGCTTCGCTACCTTTAAGAACATAACGTACCGCATCGGAAAGCTCTTCGTCCTTCAACTGGGGCTTCTTCCTCATAACTGGCAATTCATCTCCTTCCTCCAATCTCACCACCACAGGCCTAGGCTTGGCTGAATTAGACTTTTTCTTTAGCGCAAGTGACCGTTCTGCAAGCTCGACAAGGTGGGCAGCGTCATCATCCAGATGATCTTCTAACTTGAGTTCATTGGCCGGTGGATAATCATTAGATGCATCATCAGTCTTATCTGACGGAAGATAATACAGTCCATGACGCTTACGGTGCTCGGAGAGAAGAGATGTGGTTGCGTTCGAGGATTCAGACTCTTGCTGGCTCTGTTGAGATACTATAGATGAATCGACCCTTTCCTCACGGTGAGAAAATTCAAAAGAAATGGACCCTTCTGGTAACTGAATATCTCTGCAAACCATTTCCAAGTCATCAAGATTCTTCTCGAGTATCAATCCTTTAGGAATCGGAACCCTTTCTTGAGCATTTATCGAGATCGGGCCGAAGTCATTGGAGAAGGAGTCAACAATCAGTTCAATTATTTCAGAGATTTCAGCAAGTTCCATTTCTGAACTCCCAGCAGCCTTTCGATTTAGACCATCAGGCATTTGCTTCCTAATTAACTCAATAAAATTGAGCAAGTTTCTAGATCTCTCAAGTAATTCAACATCATGGCTCCAAGTTAAAGGGCTCAAAGAAAATTGAATAAAATTCAACAATTCAATGATTGATCCAAGAGATGAAGTATTATCCTCTAACGATGCAGATGTACATGTCGGGACACGAGACAGTGTCTGCTTATTATTTTCAGAGAAAGTAACTTTGGGCGATTGATTAGACCGCCTCGGGTTGAATGCTTCATCTCGTTCACGAAGATCAGAAGCATCACACGAACCTAAAACAGAAGCATCCTGACATTCTCTTACAGAGATAGATTCTGAACATCTCTCAGCCAGATTATCAACATATGAAGAGGAGTCAATGATTGGCTCTTGAATGTAAGAATTTAAACAAAAAACCGACACCTTAAACGCTGACTGAACGTAAACCGCTCTAACTGATGGCGGCAAGAGATTGGTGCGAGGCTGTAACAGTGCCTCGAGGAGTTCGAATGGCTTGCCTGAAAATTGCACGTACTCTCCTGACACCCAAGCAGCAGCTGATAGTATTCTATGCATGAAAGGATTACCGAGTAACGCTGGATCAATCAGCAGATCACGGCCAACCATGACAAGAGTAGGTCTTGCATCCTTGACCCTCATACCAATATCTACAAGCTGATTTTCAATTTCCTCCCCCTTTCTGCATTGTGGGATCCTTGACATTTCTCCAAGAAGTGACACATACCAATCGAAGTCGATGATGATTTCATATACATTTTCCCCACACGCAGCTAATATGGACCCAAGAATTTCATTACAAAAACAAGGATCAGATTTAAGAGCAAGATTCACCAAAACTCTGCATATTTCAGCTAAATTA